TGTGTTTGACCGCTAAGAGAAGCAAGGAAATTGGCAGTGTTTGGTTATTCGTCATATTCGGCTATTTATGTACAATTATTGCCTGGTAAATTGCCTTAAAGAACCTACAGGAAGGCTAAAACATGAAGATGACTTAAAGCAAACATCCTGTGCCTGTTCTGGGAACAACCTAGTGAACTTCCAGAAAAGAGATTACGCAATGTGAACACACTGTAGCAGAGCTTTTTGATCACAATGCCACATATGTGTTTAGCGTATACGTCATCCAAAAAGTGCTCATCTGTTCTTCAAGAACTTTCTGAATGGAACACTATAGAACACTTTTTAGGTCAACCCGGAAGATATGCCGCATCAACGTGTTATGGTAATTATGGTAAATACCAAAATCCGACGTGGAAAATGCACATGAGCACCCCCTCATGTGGTATTTTCCACTGGGCAACTCGTATAATATTTTGATGCACGGGTTGATGAGATAACCTTTGACCTTTTCAAAATGGCGGAGAATGCTAAAAATATGTACTATTCATGATCTAGAAAATATTCAGAATATTATTTACTGTTTGAGTTTTGATAAATCCTCTTCTTGCTGTAGCAGAAGACTTAAGCAATCTAAAATAGTTTTAGCTAAATAACAGGTCTGGATCTCCATCTTTTTACCACATTACGACAATTAAAGCACTTGAACACAACACACTCGTAAATACAAGTTCACAAAACATCCTATTTTCCATAGCACGTGTCGTGAATGCACCAATAGTATCACCCTTGTTCCCTCAACAAAACCCCAATAGGATTCTTCCATTTGCTTGCAGAAAATAAGCCCCGTCACCAACAAAAGTGTATGATTAATGTTACTTTTTTGATCTTCATGATAATCTTCACAAAGGAACACAGCTTTTATGAATCCTTTAAGCCCGAACAAAAATCAGCTGAAGTAAAATGCTAAACTTAGAAAATTACCCACATTCAAGTGTTGATAAAAATAAAAAACAATTGAATAACCCTGAATTAACCATGTTTTTTTCTGCAATTAAAACCACTAACATCTCCATGTTCAGATATATTGATACATTTGTGTAAAAATGATCAAAAATGCTGGCGGTGGACGGTGCAAAAAACGAAGGTGGGGAAATGTAGTTCTGGACAACCTCTGTAGTCCCACTGAGTCACGTATTAGCAGTCACATACTTATTTATTACTGATGCATTTAATCCTCTGGTCTGTTGCGTGTCATAAATTACAGAATCGTTTTTTTTAATTCAATAAAATGATTCTGCAATATTTTTATTAAATATAATATTTTGTAATTTTAGGGTATTTTATGGTAATACATTATATTAATGCAATAGTTCTCCATTTATTCACTTTTTGAGCATGGTCCTGAAAATTACATTTCCAACTTAGTCATAAACCCTGGACCTGGAACATAGACTTTTGTATAGTTTGTATAGCAGTTTGCCACATTTTAAAGACTACACTTCTGAAAAAAATAAAATAAATAAATAAATAATACAAGTGTAAATATTTTTTAGGAATATTTAACCTTTTTCTTTGTGTGTGTTTCTGTTTTCATGCAACAACCTTTTCTGAGTTCCGTACCATTCCTATGAAGTGTAAAAAAAACAAAAAAAACCCCCCGAAAAATTACCCAACAGCACCAGAGAGTTGATGTCGTAAAATAAAACATGAAAACTTGTAAACCACAGACAGTATTTCTGGCATTTAATGAAAAAACAACAACATTGATTTCAGAGTGATGAAACAGGGAAGTGCTACAGTAAAACGCTGGCTCGCTTCTGGGTTTTGGCCTACAAAAATACCTCATCCAGGCAGTACTCTATGCTTTTGGAAGCTAAAAAGATGTGCCTAAAATAAATATCAAGCTCTCCTAACTTTTTCTAAAGGATGGAGTTGTCTAAATGGCAAATTTGTAGCTCAGGTAGCATCTAAAGCCAAAACATTGTTTGAAACCCCCATATTTCAGTAGAGAGTTGCTGACATCTGCTTCCCTCCCACCGGGGCTGCCCTGCTGGCTCTGACAACAATCACAAAGCACATTTTTAGCTACATAAACTGTTAATTCCCCAGCACAGCTCTCCTTCCTCCCACAGGGCTGTTGTGTTATCACTGATACAGTGAGAAGTTCCTGTCCTCCCTTTGTGGGCCGCATGTGTGATTGTTTAATTGTGTCCCTGTCGTCTCGTGCACAAATTAGCAACTTAAGAGCCCAATGGCCCTGCATTATGTTCTCTGTCAGTTTATATAGTTGTTTGAGTTGATCTTGTTTGACACAAATGATCTTTTGCATTCCCCGATGCTATAGTATACAGATGAAGCAGCAGAGAATTGGATATTCCCAAGAGGTGAGATCAGAAATTAAGGATTTGAACACAGCCTTAAAGGGGTTGTTCAACCAAAAATGATAATGCAGAGAAATAATTATACACGTTGTTCCAAACCTGTTTTGAATAACATCTCAGTGTTTTTTGTCCATACACTGAAAGTCAATGGGGTTCAGTGTTGTTTAGACGTCACCTCAGTGAATTCCAAAATATCTTTTTGTTTGTAATCAGTCACATGGGGAAAAAGACGTTTCACAAACATTTCGGCTCTCAGGCCATCTTGAATGGTGTCTGTGTATTGAGTGCGATTCACCATTGACGTTTTGATGCAAGTCATACGGATTTGCAAACCAAAATAAGATATGACATAAGACTCGATATAAGAGGGCCTGTAAACTACTTTGTTGAAGCATGTCCTGCCATTTATTCATTCTCTCTCTCTCTCTCTCTCTCTCTCTCTCTCTCTCTCTCTCTCTCTCTCTCTCTCTCTCTCTCTCTTCTCTTTTAGTTATGATGGTCATTATTTTTAAACTATAAATAGCTGTGACCCAAGAATAGCTTCATGACAGCACTGTCTCTCTCTGTTCCTTTACTGAATCCCCTTTTCGTCTCTAGCCATTAGACCTGGCAGGAACTGTCTTTTTATTCAATTAGCGATCATCAGTTGATTCACAGAAGAGTGTGTTTGTGCATGTACATCATAAAAATGGACTGTGTGACAGAACAACTTCTACCAAGACATTCGATTTTCCTCAAAGATGATCTCATGCAATCTATAAATCAGTCTGCGATCTCGTTCCAAATCCAGCAAAGCTTATGAGGAATGGTATTCCTTGTCTGTCTATCTGTCTCTGGCTGTCTCACCCACGCACATCCTAAAGTGGGGTGAGCTTGCTCTAGGCCTAAAATGGTCTTGATCTAAGGATGTTTCTGAGTCACCTTTCAGTAATGCAGTAAAGACGTTCTGGTAATCCAGATAACAAGCGTATGTAGGAGGACAGCGACTTTTGGCTAAGTTTAGGGAATTGTGAGCGTGTGAAAGAATGGAGGTATGTTTGTCTATTTATGTGTCGAAACAGGAGGGTGTGTAGATGATGAATGTATTAATAGGATCCGTTTTTTTGTTTTGTTTTTTTTTTACGTGTAGGGAGGGCTATAGGGTCCCCGTTCATGGGCAGAAGGCTCTCAAAGTCAGATTTAGAGCTGGTAAGCAGTCAGGCATGCTGTAGGGAGAAAGTCATTTGGATCACATAACTGCATAGAACAACACAAACTGCTTTGATTCAGTGTTTCTGACGCTTGACTAAATCAGAAGTATAAATAAATGGTTCGAAAGCATTTCCTCCAAACCATCTAAGACCAGTTTAAGCTGCTTAATAAGTAAGAATATATTTGCTTACATATTTTCAGTTATGATTGCAATATGCAGCTTAACCAGAAGATGGTCTTGGCTGCTGGTCTCCCAGCTTCAGCTGGTGTTCAGCTCGGTTAGCTGGGCAGTCAAATGATGTCCCAAACTGGCCCAATACCTCTCTAAATCCAGCCAACAGACCAGGGCTAGGAGACAATTTTTATTCTGTCGATAGTGTCGATTATTCAATCGAATCCTGCGGTATTTTTTTTCTCAAGTTGTAGAAGTAAGCCAAATTGAACAGATGGCAATATGGGCAGGGTGTGTGGTGTGCCTTTATCCTCAAAACACACTAATAGGCTATTTCAATAGCTATTTGTAAAATAATAGTCTGATTGACAATAATCAGTGTATGGAATTAGATTAATTAGCTACATTACATAGACAAACCTGTTTAAACTTGTTTAAATGCTAGGGTAGTTACCAATGCCATGTGTGTTTTTACTGCCATTTGTTGATATTCACCCACAAAGTTTTTTTTGTTGTTGTTGTCATTTTCAAATATGAAATGTTGGCCTTTTTTTTTTCATGATTCCATTCCAGTGTTTTTGACAATCAATACCGCTTTGTCAAGTAAAGCGGCCACCATATAGAAGTGCCAGGATAAGATCTGAGCCAAATAATCTGAAATGTAACACTTTACATTAGGTCTCAGTCAATGTTATTATTTTTCTAAATGTAGCCGTATTAACCCTTTTTCCAGAGCTCCCTCGTAGTGTAGTTTCTTCTCTTCCACCCATGCACACTTTGGTCAGAACAGGAGAAATGTGGTTAAAATCGATACTGTCATTATGGTTACTCTATTTATGCGCATAATTGTTCTGTTTACATGAGCGTCAGCTTAATCGCAGCACTATAGTGTGCATGTCACAGCCATTTTGATTCTAATAGCATTTTTTGTTTGCTTGTGTATATTTTTATCAGTCCCCATTTGATGTCCAGTGTTCTGGAATCATTTATTTTTTCATAAAGAGATATGTGGAACAGACCTTTGGAACTGATGCCTGCACTATGACAGACTTTGACTTAAGATGGTTGCACTTCTGACATTTTTACAAACAATCTCTTCTTCAACATCTTCAAATTCATAAGTCTGCAGAGTTCTTCAGTTTTTTCCCCTTTGGTTTAAGGGTTCAGCCCCACATGTGTGTTCCAATAAGAGCTCCATCCCTGACGTCATGTCTGCAGGAGATTGGCTATATGGAGCTCGAGCACAAACTCCTGCCCTTGCACACACGCGCGCTCAAACTTTTCTAAGAGTTTTCAAACTTCTGCTCGGGCTCAAGTCGCGCGCACGCGAACTCTCCCCTCCTTGACTCCCGATTTCCGTTTCGTGCTTTGAAACTTTCTTTCACTTGAAGCATTTTCCACACTCTTAAGTTATGTGGATTGCGAATAGATGACAGCGCGCGAGGGTTTACAACTGCTTCACACGGGACTGAGTGTAGTTGATACTATAGTTTTTTTTTGTGGACTATCTTTCTTTCTATAGTGTGTGTATATATAGTACATAGTGTTTCTTTCAAACGTCCCCAACACTTTCACTTCTACTGGATATGGCTGTGCTCATGTGGGACATCATTGTTTCTCTAGCGTTATTTATTTCTCCGGCTTTGATTTCGGCGGATCAAAGCGGCTTCAGGAAACTGTACGTACTGCAGCCGGGACCGAGCGGTACGGACGGGGTTCACTTAAGCTCAATTTCATCGCTCTCGGGAGCTTCGGGACAGCCACACTCCTACAATGTGGAGCTCAAAGCCAGTTTCAGCGGCCAGGTCCGAAACCGAAGAATGGGTCACCAACCGAACCCGAGCATTCCAATCCGCCAGGACGCGCAGCCTGGCCGACACACAACCAGCCATCATATGCAAGTGTCAGGGTAAGAGCAGAGCCAACTATATTCAAATAGGCTACAACACTTTACAATGAATGTCGATCAATATCACCTACCTTTTATTAGAATGATAATAATGATGTAGGCTACGAAACGATACTTGGCCTATTACAACAGCATTATGAATAGGCTATTCATAATGACATATTTTGATTAGGCTATTGGATATTTTAATGTTAGCCTATTTAAAAAATATGTTTTATGCAATGTTGTTTTGCATATGGTCACAAAATTGAACATTAAAAGTTACTTCACCCGTGAATACAAATACTGAGAGCTTTTCTTTAGAGACCTACCAAATGGTGCGGATTAAGTTGAAAATAATATTGTTTTTTTTTTAAAAAAGTGATTATTGACCTGTCAGTAATTTAACAGTTTGTTTGTTAAATAAATTTTAAAATTATCCATAAGAAGAAAAGGTAAAATGAAAGCAACATTCTAAACACTGTAAGTGTCCATTGTAATGAGGAGGAACTTCAAGAATATGTGTTGAAGTTCCATTACAGTTTTGAATCTGCTTTTGATCGCCTTTAACAACCAGATGTCATTAAGCATCAATAAATTCAACAAGTCTACACTGATCATAACATTCTGAACAGTAGCCTACAGTAACATCTATTGTTTCAGGAAGCCACAAGAGCCAGTTTAATTGTAGGCTACCGGCTCCCATAGCAGTGAACCTGATGCCCCTTAAAAAGTTTCAGCAGGCCATTCACAAAGATTTTTCCACATTTCCTACAATCACAAAGAGTATTGAGTGTTCATATTTTCTGGGCTTTGGATCAGTTTCTCTTACTTTTCTAAGTGCAGCATGAAATAGCACAGTGGGAATAATAGGACTGATTATATTGGAGCCTCAACCAGCTTTGGCCCCGGGCCCTCACATCACTTCAGTGAGAGCAGACGTACATCAGAAACCGCTCTGGGTGGGCGAGGAGATTGACCGGGGGGGGTTGAGAGGGGGGAGGGGGTTACAGTAAGGTTAGTATGTTCATTCGGTTTGTGTGTGAGTGTGACTGACTGTTGATGTCATTGCAGAGTGAACGTCTGTGGGGGGCAGTGCTGTGTTGGTTGGAGCAAGACCCCAGGATCTCAGCGCTGCACTAAACGTGAGTTAAGATAATTCTTTTGTATCATGAATGTGCTTGGGTTCTCTCAGGTCTTTCTTCATCATCACTACACCATTCTTGATCTTCACTTTAAAAGCTTGCTTGGACATGTGAATCCTTTAATCACCCTGGAAGTCAAGTTCAGAATGGTATTTGTTTTAGTTTTGCTACAGATGGCAGGTCTCACATGAAACTAGTTAAAATAAATAAATAAATAAAAAGTTTACCAGTCTGGAAGACAGGGTTGAGTGTGCCTGATTAGGAAGGGTTTAGACTTTTAACACAAAAGTTGCAGGTTCCCTTGTATTTAGTGTTCATCTAGGGTTTACCAATCCTGGACATCATCAGTTACTGATCACATACTAAGGGTTCAGATTTACACTTATACCCATTTGGCTCCAAACCCACGCCATGAGCTTTTGAGCAAGACATACAATTGTCTTGCTCCATAGTCTCACTGCAATGCATTATCCAGTGCCCTCTGGATACAGTACTAAACATAAGAAAAAGAATTAAGTTCAAATATTAAACTAACGGTTTAAAGCTCTATGTGTCAGAAATGTCTTAAAGGGATGGTTGTAAATTCTGTCATCACAAAAGTATTAAAGTCATACACTTTAATTCACTGTGTGACTTTAATTCTTCAGTGGAATACACACAAAAAACAGATACTAAATGTTTTTTTTTTGTCGATTCAATGAAAGTCAGTGGGATCAAGTGTTGTTTTGGACTCCACTGACTTTTATTGAATGGACAAAAACTTCAAAATATATTATTTTGTGTGTTTCACAGAAGAGTTAAAGTCATACAGTTTTGGAACAACAAGAGGGTACGTAAATGACAGAATTTTCATTTTTGCCTGAACTATCTCTTTAATGCCAGGAACTGTTGCTGTGGTTAAATTGTGACATATGCTGAGACATTATATGGTGTCCTTCATAAACAACCAGACAGACAGCTGCAGTGCCCACCTGTGAGTGGAGTCAAAACGCTCCCGTCAGATCTTAAGTGGAGGGATGGGGGGTGCTTGAAAAGAGGGTGTGTACTGTTATCATAGGTGTAGATTTTGAGTGGTTGGCTGCAGATGTGATGGCGTATATCAGCAAACACTCAGCACAACATGATCAGGTTACAAGCGAATATTAACATTAATCCGCAAGTTACTGCACACAAAATCCACATGTGAACTTGTGAAGTAAAACTATGGGGTTTGTAAAATAAATGCAGGAAATGCACGACATGACAGAAAGCATTTTGAATAATGTACATCAGCGTTTTAAAATTTACTAAATGACATAAATGTTTCAGTTAACGCAATAGACAGAAGGTACACAGGCACAAAACTTGAATTATAATAATAGAAAACAAAGATCGAAGTACACAGTGGGGCAAAAGATGCAGAATTTTGAGGCTATAGAGAGAGTATCATAACATAGTGGAAGGGCTGGATCAGTTTATCCTTAGCCTGTGTGTTTCTGCCAGCAAGTTATATAAGAACCGTCCACTGTATTTGTGGAAGTACGTGCAGGCCACCGGGGAAAAGCAGGAGTTGCACCCCTACCCACTGTCTGAGTCTTGCCTCCAACACACATTCCTCTTACCCACCTTTTACACATATCCTAGACAATCAATATTGTGTCTACAGTACATCCCCTGTCTCCAGTGACATTCCTCCTTCCTTCTCCTTGTTTTTTAGGAAAGATAAATTGACTCTTTTGTGTGTATGGTCTATGGCACCTCCAAGATTGTGTCTTGGATGTGTGCTGCATTTTGACAAAGTGTTTTGTCTTGGAGCCTTGCATCAAACATCAGGTGTACATTTTACTAGTGTAGTGTACAATGATTATGCAGCCAATTGCATGTCAGTGATCTTTCTCGTACATTAAAGCCAGTCTTGGTTCTTTTGATGTCTATACAGTAGTTTTGTTTCTAATTGGCTTGTCTGCAAACTACTAAGGCATAGACTACAGTAGAGAAATATGGGTTTTTGCAGGTAATTAGTAATCTTTCAGTGGCAGATACCTTATCCTATCACATGTTGAGGCTACTACACTAGTAAGACTTGCTTTATTGATTTTAGCTTGACACTGCAATATTGGTCTAACTAATGATGTGAGTTTTTTTCTTCAAATCAGTATTTTCTAACTAATTAGTAGTGCTGTCAAACGATTAAAATATTTAATAGTGATTAATCGCATTAATGTCATAGTTAACACAATTAATCTGACATTTTTATCTATTCTAAATGTCTCTTGATTTCTTTTGGTCACATTATTTTTTCCCATTTTTTTCTCCCACTTGGAGCAAATACTCTAACACAATGTAACACTGTCCATCAATAAAAGGGTGAACGAAATACTGACGAGGTCCTGATATTGATGGAGCGGAGAATTCGCATCAGCTGTGTGTGTGTGTGTGCTTGGCCATCATCAAGTGGTGTTTTCGACTGGACGTGCTCCGATGATGATAGCTCAGATCACTTTGGTCTCATCAATGGAACCATTTGGCAACTTTTTTTAAAGTAAACTTTCAATTCAGAATCTTATTGGCGTCCATTTCAGCATCTCGCGATCGTCATTCACTCAAAACATAACGTTAACCTACTATTTGGCCGGCTCACAAGCCCAAACGAGTTTGTGTGGCGTGCCTGTTGTTTTGTTTCCGGTCTAGCCAGATTCGTTTTGGTCAACGAAGCAACAAAATGTCCTCGCGCATCACAAGCCATTGAAATGAATGGGCAGCGCAGTGTCCTGTTCCAAAAGCATGTGAAAAAAATGACAAAGTTTGCTAGGCCAAAAAGACTGTTAATCTCGCGATTAAAAAAAGTAACGCCGTTAAAATGGTTTTGTGTTAATGCCGTTAATAATGTGTTTAACTGACAGCACTACTAATTAGTGAAAATGAAAAGTACATAAGTGCTAAAAAGTGATTTGGTCATTTGTTTCACAACTGAACAAATAGTTTTTTTAAGGAATTAGTTGAGTGAATTATTCAGTGATTCATTCATAAAGACAATTACTTGTTGCCACCTACTGGTAGAATGATATAAGCTGCATTAGAGTCACTAGCACAGTAAAGTCTGTCTGAACTAAAGGTATCATAGATATGTAAGTTTGTAATTAATATTATATATTAGTAATATAATTATAATGTTAATAATTATTGTCAGTGTATATATATATCATAATTATAGAGAGAGAAAGAAGGAGAAAAGGAGAACCCCCTGTTTACAGAAAGAGGCCCTGTTTACACGGGCAGAGGAATCACTTTGTAGGCCATATGGAGCGAACCCAGAGCACATTCCTGCTTCAGCCATCCCTTTTATTTTCTATGGAGGCGTCTATAGTTTAATGTCAGCCGCACAGTGAGTGGCCTGAGAGCCCTTAAATTTGAGCTGAAATGTTACAGAACGTTTTTAATGGAAGACCTTGCAGGAAAATTGAGTGTGGAGAAGGGAAGCCTCTTTAACACCTCAGAGAATGTCTCTATAACTGTTTTTCTGCTGACTCAGGAAATCTTTTTGTTATACCAGTATATTGTCACTAAACCATTTGTTTTTATGTTTGACCAACCTTTTGTGAAAGGTTATTCTCATAAACGTACCGAATCCAGTATTTCTGCCAAATCTCTGGTGTCAACCCATAAACGTGTCTTATGATAGGGTCACCATTATGTGTGCTTTCAAGTAAATTAAGAATAAGATATGACCTTTTTCGTTCATCTGACAGCAGCATTAGATTGTTGTAATTCATGGTGACTGGGACATCGCAGCGAGAATTAATCATGGGTCTACCATTTTTCATTGCTCATATATTTTTCTATATAGGGGGGAAATGAAAAAGTCCAGGTTTTTGTCAGTACCTCCTCCCCTTGCCTCAATATATCTTCCTTTCCATTTGTGTTTTAGAATTACTGTGTCTCCTCTCCACCTCTCCTGTCTCAAAAGATCTGATCATAAATTTTCCTGCTAAATGTTTAAAGGTGTTTGATTTTTCAGGCTTAAATGCTCACCTCACTCAGAAAGTGCTAACAAAGATAATTGTCTGAATAGAAGCTGCCTTTGTCTTGCCTGGCTGGTTCTTCCGAGCTTCGTAGGTGTTTAACTCGGAGCTGTCAGTCTTCCAGGTTTTGTCGCTGACATCGAGACCTATTATTGTACAGTGCAGAGGGGCACTGGGATATTGGCCTTCTTATTTTACCACCAGGATATTGCACTCCAGTTCTTTATCTCTAACGGAACAGGAAGAGTGTTAATCCTGATTCATTTTTGGCCCATCATGTGCTATAAATAAATGGAAATGTAGAACGGGGGCCAACTTACATGCGCTGCTAAATATTTGAGGATTGCACCATTAAACTTTGATGAAACATAAAAATACATATAAAATAAATATTTGCGAAAGACTTCAACCAGGAATAATAGTTGGAATAAACTAGCAGGCCGATTGGATTGCGTCAATGAGCTCATGTTTTAACTGACAGATAAATGATGTTGACATTTACACTCGTTTATATTTTTAGAGAGGGAACTTTGTGAATAAATGAGTTCTTAGCAGCTCTCCAGCATGAAACCAATCTTAAAGGTGAACTTTACAGTGTGCCTCACCCTGTCATTTGTGCATTGCAGTGAGGTTTCAACACACAAAAAATATAAATTCAAATAAATAAATAAATAAATAACAGTAACATATTAGTATTTATTTAAAAAAACGCCCCTTTAGAGACAGTTCCTGAATATTTATTTATGTTGTTGAATTATTTTTACTAATCATTTATGATTATATGTGAAATGTCAAATTGTCAATGGGGAATTGTTACTTATTTAATTTACATTTATTTTTTAACACTATTTCTTCTTACGAATTTGAAGGCAGCTTTTTGGATCTATAATAGCAAATGTCTTATTATGCTTATTTTTTATCCGTTCAACTGCACATTGCTTTACAGAGAGCTTACAAATTAGCCTTGCCTTACGAACAAATGCAACCAAGTACAGACTAATAGTAGTGACTAAGCCCTTAGTGAACTTTATGTCTTACAGACAGTAATTCAAATAAGACCAGCTGGTGCAA